TTTATTGCTAAAGAATCAGTTAGCTCACTCGGACCAGTTGAAAATTCCAAAATAACATCTTCTCCAGGGATACAAATTCAGGATACGCAGAAGACTGCTGTTTTATTATAGGCGGTTGTCATATATTGTATTATCTGAGTTGCGCAGTGTATAAACTGGAACATTGAGATAAAAAGTGCCGACGCAGAGTGAACGATCTGATTCTTTAGCTATAAACAGTGTCATAGGGTTCAAAATGGCCGCGCCCTATGTTGGGCGTGTTGGACCTCTCTCTTGCCCCGTATAGTAATTAAAGTATGTGACAAAAGTGCAGACACTTTTAGTACCGTCATTGCATTTTTATATCTATGATTTGAAAGATTCACATGCCCCGCCCTACTTTGTGACGTCACTGTGTGCATAGCGCAAAATACACATACTTCGATTTTCTCTTACTATACGGAAAATGGTCCACATACTTTGATTTTCTATGTGGAATGGTCGCACTGCGCAGCTTTCTGAGTGCCTTTCAAAAGTTAGTGGTTATGTTATAATATTTACCCAAAGTCAGTCCCCAAACATATTATTTCCGAACTTATACTTTACAAAACCATTAACAAATATTAAATATCTTGATAACCTTGCTTTACGTGGTGACTTTATGTTGAATTTTTTCTTTTGTAAGTAACAGTAACTACTTTAAGTGTAAGGGGTTATTTCTCACAAGTCAATTTAATTGGCGACCGGTTTCGAAGCTGTCACTTCATCATCAGGCACACCTAAATGGAATGTCAAGGAGTCAGTTTTAATAAAAAACAATTATAAAAGCATGAACGGACTTTAACATATACAAAATAACAGAAAAAACACAAAAGAAAGTAAAACAATAACCTTGACTCACCTTGACTATTTCCATAAAGGAAGCGCTACATGTAGCTGATGATGAAGTGACAGCTTCGAAACCGGTCGCCAATTAAATTGACTTGTGAGAAATAAAAGACCTTTTCTTTAACCCCTTACACTTAATCCCTACTACTCATATATGGCTACCCTCACTCCAAAAGTACCTACTTTAATTATGTTCCTATTGTTGTACTCTAAATGCTTTTTATTTTTCAGGTGTCCTAGGAATTTCGTACTTAACTTGAACAGTGTTTACAAATCATTAATTAAATTGTTTAAAAATTATTTTTAGCTAAACTCTGTTATGTCTGTTCTCAGCATTTTGAGAAAAATGTTAATTGCTCTTATGTAAAAAGGTATGTGATCAATCATGAAACAATTCTTTGTAGAAGGCAAATACCAAGAAAATTGAAGCATTTACTTCAATAAATAGTAGCAGTATTAAAATCAAACGAAATAATATAAATAAACATGTAAGTAATTGTATTATAATAATTGTTTTTATTTATTTTAGGTTTACTACCTTTGGCTCATCTACACACATGAAAGTAGAGGTAGCCCACAGCCTCACTAAAAAAATAGCCCCCTCTGCAACAGTTAAAAATTGACCTGTAATATTTAATCATTTTATTTGGTACAGTAAACTGTGTATCAATTTTTGGATAAATGGAAATTTCTCAGAAGCAAGAGTACCACTGATCCAGGTACATTGAATTTGTACGTTGGACATACACATGAATCATAAAAGTACCAAAAACGTCTTTTAGAGCCACCATATGTCGACATCCTTTTTATAATATTAAATCTTCGGACTAAGAAAAGCATAGCTAGACCATCCATTGCTATAGAAGCAGAAAGTTGGGAGATATGCAAGAGTTTTGAAAATGTACACAGGCAATCTATTGTTAATACAATTAACAGACTCGTGTAATCTTTGAAAACGCGAATATTGGTGGAGGTTGTGGCAGTAATATTTTCTTGAATAGAAAATATTCAGTCATTTTTTTACTGTGTAACAACTAAAAGAAGACTCATTTGTAGATAAACAATACATCTGTTTTAATTAAAAATTTATCAACTACATATAACTAATTAAAAAAAAAAATAACTGTTTTACAAATTCAACGTGTCTTTCTCAGAAACATTATAAGATAAAAACCAACTATCTTTTGCAGTTTGCCTGCAAGAGTATATTCCTCTGGTAATATCTTTTAGTTAGAGCTTTTTTAATCTTACATTTCTATATTTTTATTTTATAGTTTCGTACCATATTTACAGCTTAAAAAATGCAAAATATAATATTAAATAGTTTAGCTTTAAATATTTTTATTACAGTACAAAAATAAAATGTTTGTTCATGGGTATGGGACTGGCGAAAAATATCATAATATTAAGGTAAAATCATATGCATAGCTTTGGAAATAATTTAAAACCACTTACCTCTATTTCAAGATGCACTCGCAATTATAACTTTACTTCAAAGAAGTTTCTTGTATATTATTTAAAATAAATAAACATTTCTTCTACACTTGTTGCTTCATTTAAAATCTCAAAATACCAACATGTAGGCTACCAGTTTAACATTTTTGAAAAATGTGTTGCCTAACCTAGTAGTAATTGCACCAAAAAGGCCGCGCCTTATGTTGTGCATGTCGGACGTCTCTCTTGCACCGTATAGTGCAAAATGAGATGATTTTAGTGATTTTAAGTAAGTCATTGTTCTTTTAGTGATCTGTTAATGTGTTGACATCTCTTTTTAGCTAGAGGCTTTAGGGAAAGCATCACACTCCCGCGGGCTCACTCAGAAAAGTGAGCCAAAGAGACGCGATTAGCTAGAGCGCAGTGGCGTACCAAAAATAGAGATTAATACGTATGAAAACAATGAAATTATTAAAATTGAATGTATATTTTTGTGTTATTTATTTTAAAATAATGTGTTTTTATGAAATCTTACTGAGTGTTCACTGCACAAATGAATCAATGGAGAAACTGCCCCTGAATACCATCATTTCATATTTAGTTGTCTTAGAAGTAGTTTTGTAGTATTTTGTCTTTACCCTTTAGTTAAAATTTTTACACTTCGTAAACCACCGACTTCTCGTCTGACCAGCTGTCACAGGAAGAGGCCTAAGAAGCCTATTATTTCTAAATTACTATTAAAAAATTATTAAAATTTTAAAAGAAATATACAAAATTGTTCTAATTATACCATTCATTACAAATTTAAATTAAATAAAAATTTTGTCCAAAATTTTTTTCTTGCAGGTTCGTTACACACATAGCCCAATCGGATTAGTATTTTAGATTCTGAAAAATTGGAAGCAGCAATTTTCCTTCGGAATTCGTTGGAGGGGGTCTCTGGTAGTCTAAATTCAAAAAGTTGGGATTCCAAAGTTGTCGCTACCTCCGCCATCTTGATTTAAAGGTTATTTTTTGTATCTTGAATAACTCATTTATTTTCAATTTTACAAGGAAAATAGTTTTTACAAAAGTTATTTAAAATTAAATTTCCTACAATTCTGCTTTTTTTTGTACGATCGATTTTTTCGATTTAAACCCGAAAAGAGGGGGTGAATTTTTGGTTATAGAATAACTCGTTTATTTTCAATTTTACGAGAAAAATTGTTATAAACAAAGTTGTTTAAAATTAAATTTTCTACAATTCTGCTTTTTTTTGTACGATCGATTTTTTTCGATTTATACCCGAAAAGAGGGGGTGAATTTTTGGTTATAGAATAACTCGTTTATTTTCAATTTTACGAGAAAAATTGTTATAAACAAAGTTGTTTAAAATTAAATTTCCTACAATTCTGCTTTTTTTTGTACGATCGATTTTTTTTCGATTTATACCCGAAAAGAGGGGGTGAATTTTTGGTTATAGAATAACTCGTTTATTTTCAATTTTACGAGAAAAATTGTTATAAACAAAGTTGTTTAAAATTAAATTTCCTACAATTCTGCTTTTTTTTGTACGATCTATTTTTTTCGATTTATACCCGAAAAGAGGGGGTGAATTTTTGGCTATAGAATAACTCGTTTATTTTCAATTTTACGAGAAAAATTGTTATAAACAAAGTTGTTTAAAATTAAATTTCCTACAATTCTGCTTTTTTTTTGTACGATCGATTCTTTTCGATTTATACCCTAAAAGAGGGGGTGAATTTTTGGTTATAGAATAACTCGTTTATTTTCAATTTTACGAGAAAAATTGTTATAAAGAAAGTTGTTTAAAATTAAATTTCCTACAATTCTGTTTTTTTTTTGTACGATCGATTTTTTTGTATTTATCCCTGAGAAGAGTGGGGGTGAACCTAAGTATTGTATTGTCACGTTTATTATTGATGTTGTACCGTTATTTTTTCTGTTTGTTTTTTTTTGCTGATACCTGGAATTAAAAAGAAACGTGATAATACAATGATAAGAGTTTACCCCCACTCTTCTCAGGGGTAAATACAAAAAATCGAGCGTACAGAAAAAAAACAGAATTGTAGGAAATTTAATTTTAAACAACTTTGTTTATAACAATTTTTCTCGTAAAATTGAAAATAAACGAGTTATTCTATAACCAAAAATTCACCCCCTCTTTTCGGGTATAAATCGAAAAAAATCGATCGTACAAAAAAAAGCAGAATTGTAGGAAATTTAATTTTAAACAACTTTGTTTATAACAATTTTTCTCGTAAAATTGAAAATAAACGAGTTATTCTATAACCAAAAATTCACCCCCTCTTTTCGGGTTTAAATCGAAAAAATCGATCGTACAAAAAAAAGCAGAATTGTAGGAAATTTAATTTTAAATAACTTTTGTAAAAACTATTTTCCTTGTAAAATTGAAAATAAATGAGTTATTCAAGATACAAAAAATAACCCTTTAAATCAAGATGGCGGAGGTAGCGACAACTTTGGAATCCCAACTTTTTGAATTTAGACTACCAGAGACCCCCTCCAACGAATTCCGAAGGAAAATTGCTGCTTCCAATTTTTCAGAATCTCAAGCCTGTTCTTCACCTAATTCGATTGGGCTAACAATATAATTTGCGCTTAGTTAACCTGTTGTACAAAGTACTACGAGTATTATTTACTTCAGGCTAATATTAATAGTCTTTTTTTTTTTTCAGATCATATAAATATTAAAATATAGACTAGATTAATAACAAATGGGTGAAACTCCAGCTGAATATATTGAAGATGGTTGTGATAATTCTTATTCAACAAATAATGTTATACCATCTGAACAAGAAACCGAAATTGACTTTCGCAGAGAAGGACCAGATAAAATTGATTTTGTCAAGCCGAAGAATTATTCCCAAAATGAAGTAAGTTTTTGGTTAATTAGAAAACATTTTTTAACGTTATTAAAGAAATCACATTATACAACAATATATTTTTTCTCCGATTGACATTTCTTGTCAGATTTCTCGATCATAGAAGTAATACTTTTACTGTCTAGGTATTAAAATTCATTTTTACTTCCTAGGCATTAAAAACTTACTTTTTTTCTTTTCTCTTTGTAAGTCTTGGTCTGCATGATCATCCGGCAAAAAAAGTTACTCTAATAAATTAAATACAAAGGTACTATTAGTTTATTTGTATAAGATTTGAACGCATATAATTATAAAAACAACAATTAGAATAAATATATAAAATTGCTTGAGTTATATCCGTTATACTTAAAGGAGGCTTTCATTTCAGTTCCATTTTTTAAACACACTATATAAACAAACGGAGAAAAAATAATATGTTACATACGGCAGAGAAACAGATTTAATACCTTGGCTAGTTTTACTGCCTCAGCTTCGCTTCGGCAAAGTAATGTAGTCACGGCAGTACATCTATTACTTACACTTACACTTACAAATAACTGTTTTTCTTCACCCACCTATATTATCTATTTACACAATACAGCATGGCTAGACCATATCAGAGATTTGATATTCTTTACCAAGTAAATCGACGATTTTCCGTTTTCTATAGTCGCATCTTCTTTAAAACTGGGTCGTTCCCTTGTTTTACCCTAAGTTTGGCAGAGGCTTACTCATTGTTGACTATAGTTTTTCTTAGTAGTTAATTTTCTTTGGATTCTGCTATGTTCCAGTGAAAGCACTCTGCTGGGTACGGGCTTCTATACAGATAATCGGTATTTCTGTTCTTTTTTAAAATCGTACTCTTGAAGTCGTTTGACATGTCTGATGATTTGGCCCTCCGGGTTCTCGAACTGCATTAGCCAATCAAAAGCTGCATAAATGTTTCGGAATAAATCATCCTTTCGTACAGGTATTGGTTAAACTTTTACATGCATATCACAACTGCCAGGAGTTTCCTTCTCGTGTCGCAGTAACTTTGCTCAGGTTTCGAGAGCACTTTTCTAAAATAACCCAGTACTCTTTCTTCTCTTTCCTGTATCTTTGTAAGCACTCATCCAATTCTCACATTACTGACATCAGTATTTAGAATTAATTCTCCCTCTGGTAGTGACTAGCCCAGATTAGCGCTGTTGTTAAATGTTTCTTTATTATTTCAACGGCAGTTTGGCAGTCTTAGTCCCAGCAGAAGTCTCTCGCTTCTTTTTTGAGTCGTGTTAATGGCTTAGCAATATCTGTTAACTTCCTTATGAATCTTCCGTAGTACGTACAAAGCTCAAGAAAACTTCTTATTTGATGTTTATCAGTTGGTTGTTGCCTTTGTTCGATGGAAGCAACTTTCTCCTTTTATACGCCATCCTTGCTGATTACATAAGGCCTATGCAATTAACTTTATTTTGAATTAGCTGACATTTCTTGGGGTCTGGCATCTGTTGGACAACTTGAAGTCTCTTAGAAACATCTTTACACCTTCTAAGTTCTTTAGATCTTCATCAAATATCTTCCCCAAGACAATGATGAATAAATACATCAGGAGTTTCTTTCCAAGATAACGCTCTCAATACATTTTCCATGTCTTTTATGTATCGCGGAGGCATTACATACTCCAAATGACATAACATTAAAATACCACAAACCAGATCCCGTGGTAAAAGCTATCTTTTCTTTATTAACTGGGTTAATTTCCACCTGCCAATATCCAACTTTCTTGTCTTAGGTAGAAAAAAGTTTACTTTCGGACAATATGTCCAAAATATCGCCAATTTAAATCAGAGGATAACTGTGTTTCTTAGTAACATTATCGAACTGACGGTAATCCACACAGAACCTCATGTTTCCATTCTTTTTCTGGACCAGGATTATCGGAGAAACCGATAAGCTGATAGAAAGTTCTATCACTCTGCTTTTTTCCATTTCGTGAATAATCCATTCGGCTTTCTCTTTCTTGGCCTTTGGTAATTTTCGAACTGATTGACGAATCAACCTGGCGTCACCAGTGTCAATTTTATGTTTTACCATAGAAGTTCTTCCTGTTTTTTTTGCCTTTTGAAAGAAAAATTTCATGATATCGTTGAAGAGATTCCTTAATTTTCTTTTACTCTAATTGATTCAGAGATTGGCCAGCAACTGCAATCATTTGCTCAAATTTCTCATTGGAATCATTAGAAGTTTTTGTTTGACGAATTATGGAATTTACTTGTACACAGGTTCCGTTTATCTTTTTTAATGGTAATTGGGTGATCATTAACGTTTATGAGACGTACTGAAATTTATTAAGCAGTCGTGACCAATACCATTCCAATAAGAATTACTCGTCCAACCTCTTCATCGTTGTTTCAAGGTACCATTATGATAGGTGTTTTATCTTCGATGGTTTCTTGAAGCCCTGCTACTATAATGGTTTCATTTTTGCCAGGTAATACCGTATCCTCCTGTACAGCAACTGACACCGTAATTGATATTGAAATACTTCTTCGGCACCAACTTTGATCACTCTGTTCTTAAGGTCTAACTGGAAATCATGTAGGTTTATTAAATCCATTCCAAGTATAACTTCTTCGATATCAGCAACAATAACTTTTCTACTAAAAAAGACAGCGCCTCATATCTTTCACCTGTGTAGAGTGGAGAAAAAATGAACATTCTTCCACCTACAGGGTAACATTCCCGTTGGACAAAATTGATGATGTTTATATCTTAACTATATGGCCCAAGGAAGCTGCTGTAAGAAGATTTAACTTCAAAAAAAAATTTTCAGCCTCTTCAAAAAACGGAAGAAGAGAATTAAATATGAAATACAATTCCAATATTTTAAAAGATTTTAGTATTTTAAAAAATGTTAATCAGCAGAGTACGGTGAGTATGTTTCATATAAATTTACAATCCATCTCTAATAAGGTAGAAAAAATTAACAGTTTTCTTGTGGATCACAATTTTGACGTTGTCTGCTTTTCTGAACATTGGCAGAGTGAAACATGCCTTAAATACATTGACGGTTACAATTTGGCAAACTATTTTTGTAGAACAAATATGACTCATAAAAAATAATAAAGATTTTTTGAAATATTTTCCAATTGACTTAAGCGAATATATTAGTGAACAAAATACAGAATTCTCTGCTGTAGATCTGCCATCTTTAAAAACTACAATTTTAGCTGTCTATATGTCTGGCTAAGGAACTACTGATATTTTTCTTGTGAATTTTAAACTTGTATTACACAAATTACTAGAAAAGTATGACAAATTAATAATATTAGGCGATTTTAATATTAATTTTATATCAAAATCTGAAATTTTGAATGTTTGTTAAAGTCTTTTGGTTTATCTCTTACAATACATGATGATACTAGAGCTACAGCTTCATCTTCAAATTGTAAAAACAACATAATTACAAATTTGGCAAACGAATTGTTTACTTTCGGTGTATTTGAACCCTTCTTTTCAGACCACTGTGCCCAATACATTTCTGTGAGTTACAATAATAGTCTAACAAAAAATAAAAATCAAACATGTCTTAAAAGGTGTATTACAGATAATAGAATAAAGATGTTTAAACAGTCTTTAAGTAGTAAAGATTGGAGTATTTTTTTAATAAAGGTAATGATGTAATTTTTTTGTCAACCTTTTTTAACAATACTTACCATAACTTAAGTATGAAATATTTTCCCTTGAGACAATGTAAGAATAATTTCTAATGTGTTGACACTCACGAACTCAATAGTAAAATTTTAAAAGAGACTTGCAATATTATAATAAAACTGTTTACTGAACTGATTAATTTAATTTTATCCACTGGTATATTTCCTGAAGTACTTAAATACTCTAAAGTATTACCATTTTTAAAAAAGGGTGATGTCTCGAAAATTGATAACTATCGTCCCATAAGTATTGTTTCAATATTTGGTAAAGTTATTGAAAAAATTATTAAAAAACAATTATGTGAGTATTTTGAATTAAACAACTTCTTCAGCAACTCCAAATACGGTTTTAGATGCTCTCGCTCTACTACCCAGGCTGTTCTCAATGTTGTTAATGATGTAGTTGAGGAACTTGAGCAGGGAAATCACACAGCAGTTATGTTGTGCGATCTGTCAAAGGCTTTCCCTTGCGTCTCTCATTATATTCTTCTGGAAAAGCTAAGCTTTTATGGAGTTAGGGGAATTCCGCTTGCACTAATAAATTCATATAACAGTAACAGACAACAAGCTGTGGTGAGTAATGGTGTTCTGTCTGACTTTCAGGCTGTAAGGCAAGGGGTTCCACAAGGTTCTGCCCCCTTGGCCCCCTTTTATTTATTGTTTATGTTAACGATCTAAGCCGTTTTATGCTACCTAATAAATCAGTTTTATTTTCTGATGATACAACACTCATCTTAACAGACAAAAATAATAAAAATTTCTTCGTTTGATGAAATTGCGGACAAAGCAAACACATGGTTCTCAACCAACAAATTAAAACCTAACAGTGAAAAAACTCAAAATATGCAGATATCTGCCAATAATTAAATTATCTCAAAATGAAAAACAAAAAACGTTAAATTACTTGGTATTACCTTGGATAACAAACTCAATTGGTCGGCTCACATTAATCAGTTAAAGAAAAAACTTTCTAGTTCTTTGTTTATTATTCGGCAGTTGAAAAAACTTACCAACTTAAATACCCTCAAAACTACGTATTTCTCTCTCTTTTACTCGCATGTCAGCTATGATGTACCACTTTGGGGAAACTCTTCTCAATCGATTCAAATTTTCCGGATGCAAAAAAAAGCTATCACAATTATGGCTAACATTGGATTCAGAGAACATTGTCAACAATATTTTATTAAATTTAAAATTATGCCACTTCCTACTTTATATCTACATCATACACTTGTTGAAATTTATAGGAAACAGTCTGTTTTGTTGAAACAGTCCGATATTCACAAGACACGTAATTCACATTGTATTAGAAATACTCGTTTTAGGTTATGTCTATCTGAAATAAATTCCCTAAATTATAACTTATTTAACATATTACCGCAGAACTTTAAAAATTTAAGTAATAATGCTTTTAAAAAACATTAAAAAAATATCTATTGGGATATTGTTTTTACTCTGTCAATGATTATGTAGCTCATTTTCGGTCTGTATGAGACATCTCGCTGTCACTCTGCCTCATCACAATTTTAACCTTGATAAGTACTGTTACGGTTCAAAATCCATATGAATGTACTGGGATGCTTTTACCACAAAAATAATATATATAGTATTGACATTTAACTTTTAATTTACTTTAATTTATTATTTAAGTATAATAGGAAAATCTATTAAAAGCTCACTCCGTATACACCGTTTTGGCTAGAAGTTTAATAGGAGATCCATTTCTCATGTTCTGTGAGTTAACTAGAATGAAAAGATACCTTTTATAACTCCATTGTCAAATTGGAAATTGTAGAAGTTTAACCTTTTATCAAGTATTTCTTTTTTGTTTTGAATATTCCTTCTGGTCCTCTGTAGATATATTTTCCATTGTTTTTCTTAATTAGTTTGTAGTTGAGTTCTAGGAGCCTAAAAGGGACAAAGAAACGTTTTGAATTTTATATATGGTTTCAGGGGTTCATTTTCTTTGTTTATTTACATTAATTATGACATTATGTCATTCAAATTTATTCAGGTAATTGTCTAATTCATTACAAATAATTAAAACCCCAAATAATCTAGGTAATTTTGGAATTAAGTAGGTGATTGTGAGAAATTGGCTAATAATATTTTAAATTACCTGTCATATTTTATTTTCATTTCCTGTAGAAGTCATTAATTTTGTCGGTGCATATCCTTCCACCATTTTTCATTCTTCTTCTAGTATCCCTTCATGGAACATGTGTTTTTGAAGATCTTTTTATAAGGATATGAGATACTAGAAACCAAAAGACTGATTGAAAATTTATTTAGTATTACTATTTGTTAGTATACTTAATCTCATAAGAGGATTTTATTTTCAATTAAGCAAAAAGAACTTACTTCTTAAAAAGGCCACCTTTCACCTCAGGTAACGTAATTTCTCATTTATCACTTATTTGTCCTTCCTAAATATAAGATTGTATATTTAAAGTAGTATTTTGTATTTTAGGCCTTCTATTCTATTCTTTTTCCTTTTCTGGCTATCGTAGTCACAGATAGTTACATTTCATTTTTATTACGTGCAGTTACGTGCAATTCCGGACATAACATTAATTTGAGGTAGTCTCAAAGGACAGCTATATTTGAGAACCTTACTGCTGGGACACCATTTTCATCCCTTACTCACTGGAGTTACCTACAAACGAGGAAAAGGACGATATTTTAATTGAAGGTTAAATAAGTGGACCTATTCGTACCTTTGGATCCAATCTTGTCAAGTAACCCTTCCAAAGAGGTCTTCGAATTCAACCCTCGCCTATGTAAGATAGTGTCAATCTCCAAGGTAGGAATTTTCTGATTATACCAACTCAAGTCCATCAGTTAGAAGGTGTTATCACACGAAATATCTCCACCCTCAGTGTTTGGGAATATTCTGAAAATTGTATATATAATTAACCAGTTTTAACCTTTTAGTTTGTATATATTAAAATCATTTATTTTGAGAGCCACCCAAGATAGATATCTATTTTAATTGGTACGTAAGCTGTATATATATTAAATTAAAAGGACTTACCTATTACAACCGAGTTATAGCTAGGTATTAAATAAAACCTAAAGATTCTCCTTATTTTTTTTAATAAACACGTTTCAATTATATATCATAACCTTAAATTATTTAATATCCTTCTTTTCCATTTACGGTATCAATCTCATAAAATTTATCCAGGTTTTAATCGATTCTATCTCGGTATAATTGAAAAAAGGGTCTAAACCGAATCAGACATTCAGTCAAATTCTAGAATAAAAGGAAAAATCCCTACGACCCTCTCTCTGACTGAGCAGAGATAATTAATTACCACATTATATATTGTTTTGCTCTGAAGGTCATAGCAGTAGCTACTAATTATTGTTTTTATTTACATTGTTCAAATTCTGGTACTCTAATAATTATTGTTTTATCTGTTTTATTTACCTATATTGTTCAAATTTTGTTACCACCTATGACTTGCTATAAACATAATGACTTATGTAAAATAGTAAATAAAATATTCTATTCTATTCTATTCTATTCTATTCTATTCTATTCTATTCTATTCTATTCTAATTGAACCTGGATTTCCCCATGGATGTTGGCACTTTCATCTGTGCTAGTCTGCAGTCGCAATCTTGGTGCGGTTATTTATGGAGCTGGTCGTATAATGGTCATAGTTTTGAAAGATTTGCTTATCTGTATTTTAATTATTGAAAATGAAAATCATTTTAATAATAAAATGTTTTAGATACCCATAGACCCAGCCATCACTTATGAATGGGTGAAAATATCTGCTGAATTTCAGCTCCTTATTTCTATTCGTCTAGTTGTAGGAACTTTTAAATAATATTTCATTTTACGTCCGCAATATAAGCCACCCTGTATAGATTTTCGGTCAACAGTGATAATTTGGACTAGTTTTGTCTGAATGTATACACCCAATCAATGTAAATTAAAACGTTTAATTTATCCTATTTCAAGGTTTTCTAGTTTTATAGAGAATAAGGTTCCTCCTAACGAAAAAGCATAATTTGGACATATCTTGTAAAACTTATTTTAATATATGTTTTTCTTTTAGTATCCAGCAGAACACAACAATTATCAACTTCCTGTAGGTTATTATAGACAAGGTATATCTAATCAATATTATGGACAAAATGCGTATCCTATGCCACTCCAACCTCTTAGAATAATTAAAGACGTGGTTCCAAGGTTCCAAAAATCGGTACTACCTGCAACTATACTTCAACCAATTTCAAATTTAGGACAATTTTCAAATGAACCTAAAATTCAGAATGATAGAAATTCAATTAAGGTTGGTTTGTTTTTTTTTGTTATAAGGCATAGAATTGTGATTTGTTACTAATTGAATAAATTTTTTTTTTTGATATAGTAAAACAGCATAAACCAATGACATTCACTTAAAAAAAAATCATAGAATTCCCTGACAAATGTTGCATAATAGTATATTATTAAACGAGCAATTTATGGCAATAAATTGCGAGTCTAATACTATACTTTGTCCACGACCATTATGGTTTCTTTATTAAATAAAAGTTAAGTGTAGAATGGACAGTTTTTATTAAACATAGGTAACTAATTGTTGTTTTTTCGACTTTTCGATTTTTCGTTTTTATCGATTTTTCAATTTTTTTTTTTTCGATTTTTCGATTTTTTTTTGATTTTTCGATTTTTTTTCGATTTTTTTTCGATTTTTTTTTTTCGATTTCTCGTTTTTATTTTTTCGATTTTTCGATTTCTCGATTTTTCGATTTTTCGATTTTTCGATTTTTTTTCGATTTTTCGATTACCTATAAAGAATATTTTCATATCAGTTTAGACATACGTGCTGTCGTGACGTCATACTGTGACTAATGGATCATTATTCACTAGTGAATAATAGGTATTATTATTCTTAAGGAAGTACAAGTATAATGAATGTTTTATAGAACAGTCGTGGACAAAATATTTTTGTTGTAGGTCAATTGAACATTTCCTATTATAGTAAAGGTATTAAAGCTGGGTTTACGTGAAAATTGGCTCGAACAAAATGCGTGTAAAAACCCTGGCCGTTCCAATATGTTTAAAACGTAAACGATTTTGTTGTTTATCAAATTAGTTGAGAATAGTTGAAAGTCGCAGCTAAGTTATGAAACAATTTTTACTCCTAAAATCATCTGAAAAGTACTTAATTATTGAAAATTCAATAAATTTATCACACTGATTATTGCAGCCTAATTTAAATGATCTTAATTAATTTTTAAATTCAACTATAATCATAATCTGTAACATGTTGTAGTATATTCTGTAAAAATATTATTTCCAATGGATATGTAATAACTACATGAGTTTGATTTTGCATTAAAATAATTCGATTTAATAAAAGTAACTAGCCGACGGTACGCTACCATCGCCATCACTTCCCCTCTTGACTGCCAATGTGCTTTACCGTAATACAATTAACAAAAATTTGTTTACCTGCAAACACGGCCAGACTGATCTATATTTCGTTCTCGAAATATTTTTTTTTTATGTAACGACTGGTTATTAATTTATAAATTATAAATTATAAAAATATTAAACAAATAGAAAAGATGTCTCAAGTAAAAATAACAAAATTACAAGATCAGCCGCCAAATTCTTTCCACGCCAATTATTTCGAAAAAGTTTCCTCTCCATCCTCTCGTCACATTCTGAGACGAGGCAAAACCTTGCATTTTTAAATAAGTGATACAACATCCCATGTCTTAAAATTTATAACACTTTATTCAAGATTTTAAAATAATTTAAAACACAATCTGCTCTTTGGATATCAACAATATCCGTCCGACATTTTTCAATCAATATGTTTAAAATAATTTCAAAATAAAAACTATGATCCTTGGATTTCAACAATATCCGTCCAGCATTTTTCAATTTATATATTTTTTTAAACCATTCAAAGTAAACACTATGCTCCTCAGATTTCAACAATATCCGTCCAGCATTTTCAATTTATATATATTTTTTAAATAATTTAAAATAAAAACTATGCTCTTCGAATTTCAGCAATATCCGTCCAGAATTTTTTAATTTTAAATAATTTAAAACAAAAGCTATGCTCCTCGGGTTTCAACAATATCCGTCCAGCATTTTTCAATTATAAATCATTTTAAAAAAAAGCTATGCTCCTCAGATTTCAACAATATCCATCCAGCATTTTTCAATTTTAAATCATTTAAAACAAAAGCTATGCTCCTCGGATTTCAACAATATCCGTCCAGCATTTTTCACTCTACTAGTCACGAAATGCTTACCACCTGCCATCGCGTGGTTACAAAGCAAGCCATCTAGTAGGTCTCGGGTAGTTAATATATCATTTAGGCAACACAACATAAAGAAAAAACCAAAAACAAAAGAATTACTTGCTAACACCGCCCATCCAGGACAGTAAACTTACCGATGTTTTTCTGTGATTGTGAATCCTCGGATTCCTCATACCATTTATCAGACCACATTTATAAAACATAAAGCTTTCTCGATGCTAACAATTACACTATATTAAATATTTCAAAAGATTTCATTAAATTTTTGCTAAGCAGACAAAATAAAAGCAATAACTTCAGACGTACTCCTCAGATATTTTGCTGACCTATACCTAATTTCTTTAATCACAAAAAAAAACTATAAATTAAAGTTCAGAGGTACTTCTCCTCAAATATTTAACTGACCTCTACTTAACTTTTTTTTTACTCTCAAAAGCAAAAGCTTTAAATGGAAGTTCATAGGTACTCCTCCGATATTTAATTGACCTGTACTTAACTTACTCAACTTTGTTACTAAATAAAAACAGTAGAGAAGTACAGAGGTACTTATCAGGGATTAACCTGACCTGTACTTGACTCTCTGGTGTCATGAATACATCGTTAAGTCCAGAGGTACATCTCATGGATTAACCTGACCTATACTAGACTTTCTGGTAACATGAAAATAACATTAACCTGAGCTGTACTTAACTTTCCGAATGGTAGAATTAACAGTTAATCGTAATTTGAAAAGAGCGCTCATTCATTCTGACCACATCTACCTCAACCCATTCATAAATATTGTTTGTTTACACACCAACATTAAACGTCAGATAAGGTTGAAAATGGCATCGTTGTTTACATTACTGATATTATTGCCATGGGCGTTTCATTATCAGAAAATGGTACAGTAATAAAAGAATTCTGTTAAAATTTTTATTTATATATTTATTTACATAATAATGTATTATTCAAAAGCTAAGAATAACGATATTTAAACAATTTATAAATAGTATGATGAACAATGTAACATTTTAAAAATATGTTAACATAATCTTTATATATTATAAAATGAAACAACTAGTTTTGTACCTTAAGAAAATTAATAATACAGCACGGAAAAGCTGCCGAAATTTTATAATTTAAATTAATTTACATAATAATTTTATCAAAAAATTAATAATAACCATAATAATTATATATGAAAAATATAATATTGCTAATACACTATTAATTTACAGAAAACTGTGCAATTTTCTAGGAAAGGTTTCAAGAAGTATGATGTTTGAGGTCTAAGATACTTAGATATATTGAAAAGAATTCATCTACTCGTATATTTCCTGAAAAGAGTTCTTTTAGTTCTTATCAATACTTCTGATGCTATAATTCGTTTAGAGACTGGAGAGTAAAGTATGCAATTAATAATTTAATATTTTTAAAATGTCGCTTAACTGGATACAACAAATAATGACAATGCAACATCATGGCTTTTTATTGCTTTGTTTTAAACAACAATTGCGTTTGAACAACTCTACAAATATGAAATATAACTGGATAGTACATATAAAAAATTGATATTGATTTTGTTCATATATAGAACAATTTAAACCAACTTTATTTTAGTTCTAATAGGAAAGATTTGTTCAAGTGTTTTACACATTTACATGATTTGGATGTTAGTATAGCGTCTCGTTATCCTTTTATATATTTATAAAAAATTGGGCTAACGTGTAGGATACTTGCAACTGACATTTCACTACCTGATTCGTTACTACTTGTAGTAGTAGTGCTGCATGCCCTGGATAAGATATAATCCGATTAAAATTTTAACTACACATAACAGACAATTATTAAAAAAGAATATATAAATATTTCTGACACATAGGTAACTAGAACTATACCTGCAGAGCTATTCTACTAATTTTATAGTCAGCTATAAGATATTTTTTAGTAATTTAAATTATATATTTAATATTATACCTTGCGAGATGGGATAAATCTATACCAACTTCTTTAGAAACTGATGGAGAGCTACAAAAGGAATAAATATTTAATGATATACAATCACATACTTTGAGGCTGCAAAAGAAGATATATTTACAATATGATTACCTTGAGGTGTTAGGAAGATTAACTTGTTTTGGACAAGCATCATTTTTTAAATATTTTAGGACATTTGATGTAAATACGAAATTGCTATCCTCAAAATGGCTAGAGCAAATTTTGGAAGATTTAGGGAGTACCCGTTCCAAATTGATTCCCAAAATACCAAACCAAGCTTGAAACCTGAAACAGTTATTAGTATTGATTTTAAATGTAATTTAAAAAGAAAAAATAAATATATGCTTGTTTATAAATGTACAAATATTTTATACACTACAGATACGCCAATGATTAAAAAATATAACCTATAATTTACTTTAATTTAAACTTACTTGTAGAACAATAAATTTGGATTTAGATAATACAATTCTTTGCATACTTCACACTTTCTAACCATATTTGCAGAATAAAATGTTTAATATTGTCCAAAAAGTATAAGAAACAATAAACACGATTTGACAATTGATACTATTTAACCTTGTACAAAAACTCACAGTTAAGCGTCATAAGTCGTGAACAATTTATGAATTGGATGCAGCTAAGCACGGTTGCCACGTTTAGGCCGATTTTTTATTATCACTGTACTTATTTTTTATATAATTGATTATCAAAGACTATATTTGGTTTGTATTTCAAAAGTTGCTTAAACCCGATCTTACACGTACTTAATAATTCAGTTAATATTAACAATATTTTATAAAGGAATATTAGAAGTTTCGTATTTGCTGACAACTGTTAGAAAGTAATTTAGGTAGACTTGGCAATGTGGTAAATTAACTGTAATCTTAGCCACTACCTTAGCTTAGAATGTGACTGATTGTTGTCGATCACGGTGGATACATCTTCTAGTTTCAATATCTATGATTCTGACAAATTTTACCAGTAGCGCCCCTGCTATAATTTAATGACTTGCTCACTAGATAGCTTT